TTGAATCAGTGATTTAAAAAATGAGTGATTATGTTGGTGTTTTAAGAACTGGAAAAAAACAGATAAGACAGAGGATGGTAATTAAAAGTTCTATAGTCCTGAGTTTGAATTTGACCGTCAGTGTGAACTCAAGATGTATCTTTTCTTTTTAAAAAATATATATTTCCTAGCCTTGTCCACTGAAAGGTTAGAAATAATGACCAACCCAATAGCAGTGAGCAGCCCTTGTGCTCAGTCTCTGGATTCCATTTCTAAATCCTAGTGGTGGTTAGATATCTGCTGATTCCAAGTCTGGAGCAGGAAGTGTAACGGATGAATCTGGAGCATGAGGTCATGCTGGAAAGTGAAGAAGCTGCTAAAAATTACTGAAGTTTTATCTGAAGCATTCCAGAACCAGCTTGAATAGGCTCCCACTGGACAGAGCTAGGACAATCTGGGTACCAATGAAAAGAAATGCTGTAATGGATTGAAAAATTTTAAATATGTTTGAATCTCGGAGTCCTAGGGATGTGTACACACGAACAAGAAAAAACTTTGTAATCACCTTTAGAGAATACCAGGCAACCAACTCATTTTTGAAACTGGGAAATAAGTGTTTTATTTTGGCTTTCGTATGTGAATGTTCCTCAAAGAAACCAAATAGTTGACAATGAGCAGTTTCTCTTCATAAAAGTATTCCTGCTAATTGATGAAGACGGAACACCACCAACATCCTGTTAAGAGTATACAACCCACCTCCAAAAAATTCTTGCAGACCAAAACAAAACTCTTAATCTGATCAAGCCTTTAGTTCTAAAGACTAATTTACAGGAAAAAGAAGAGACAAAGGAGTATGTTAAATTACAGCATAGGGATTTGGTCAGCAAAAAACAGACTGGGAAACTCTACAGAACAAATGACTCACTTTTTTTCAACAAATTGCAAAGAAAAAAAATGGGAAATCTATTTCAAAAAGCACTTAAACATATTAACCAATTGCAATGTATAAATCTTATTTAGATTTTGGTTCAAATATGCTGGGGGATAAAAAGGGCATTTGTATGACATTTGAGAGAATGTGAACATTACCTTTATATTTCACGTCACTAAAAAATTATTGTTGACTGCAAATGTGTGTGAGTGCGTAAGAGAATAGGTGGTCTTATTGTTTTTTTAATGAGGTCTCTTGTCTTTTAAAGATTAATATATGTTGAAATATTTGCAGTTGAAATGATATACTATCTAGGGTTTGCTTCAAAATAATCTGGGGGGACGTATGGAGCATTATAGAGGGAACAAAATCAGTCATCGGTTGAGAATTGTTGATGCTTGATGATGAGTACATGAGGGCTCATTATATTATTCTCTCTCAACTTTTGTTTAAATTTTTAATTTGTTATAGTGGAAAAATTTGAAATAGTAAGAAACTTGCCACAACTGCTACATAAGAATGACTCAAAAGATAACAAAAACCCCAGTAACGTAACTAACTTATTATTTTCTTACAATCAAGTTTACCACCCTTTTTTAAGTAAGCTTTCTGTTTTGTATTAATTTTAGAGTTGCAGAAAAATTGCTAAGATAATACAGAGAGTTCCCATATACCTTCACCCAATTTCTCTCATTATTAATGTCTTAGATTATCATGTCACATTTGTAAAATCTAAGAAACCGACATTGGTACATTACTGTTAATAAAACACCAGACTTTATTTGATTTCACCAGTTTTTCCACTACAGTCCTCTTTCTGTTCCAGTGTCTCATCCAGGGTACCACATGGCATTTAATCATCATGTTACCCTAGTTTTCTTAAATTCTTGGACAGGTTCTCAATCTTTCCTTATTTTTCATGGCCTTTACAGTCTCGAGTACTAGCCAGGTATCCTATAGAACTGCTGTCCCCAACTCCCAGGCCGGGGCCTGTTAGGAACCAAGCTGGGCGTCACTGCCTGAGCTGTGCCCCACCCGGTCCGTTGGTAGAAAAATTGTCTTTCATGAAACTTAGCAACTGGGCTACACAGCAGGAAGTGAGCGGCCAGCAAGCAAAGCTTCTGTATTTACAGCCATTCCCCTGCCCCCCTCCACCCATCCGTGGAAAAATTGTCTTCCATGAAACTGGCCCCTGGTGCCAAAAAGGTTGGGGACCTCTACTATAGAATGTCTCCCAATCTGGGTTTATCTTTTGTTTTTCTTACGATTAGACTGGAGTTATGGGTGTTGGGGAAGAATATACACAGAGGTGAAGTACCTTCTCGTCACATTACTTCAGGGGGTACATGTTATTGACATGACACCACCAATGACATAAACCTTCATGGCTTGATTGAAGTAGCATTTGCTAGATTTTCCACTATAATGTCAATATTTTTCCCTTTGCCTGTTCTAGTTTTCAGAAGCAAGTCACTAAGTCTTGCCCACCTTCAAGCTGGGCAGGGAGGGTGGGTAAGCTCTACTTTCTGGAAGAGAGATACGGTGGGGGTTTCTAAGACCACTTGCAAGTTTAGTGATTCACTAGAACTCACAGGACTCAGCATATGGTCATACTCATGGCTAAGCTTTATTACGGTAAAAGGATACAGAGCAAAATCAGCAAGGGAAAAGGTGCCTGGGGAGAGTCTGGAGGAAACCAGCCAGAAGCTTCCAAGAGTCCTCTCCCAGGGGAGTCACACAGGATGCCCTTAACTTCCCCAGCAACCAGTTGTTTCAATACATGTAAAATGTAAACTACCAGGGAAGCTTGCCTGAGCTTAGGAGTCCAGGGTTTTAACTGGGGACTGGCCAAGCAAGCATCCTTTGCCTAGCATGTACCAAACTTCCAGAAGGAAAGAGATATTTAGCATTAACCGCATTATTTGTACAAGCCATTTAGCACAGTGAGCTACTTTTATAATTTACAGAAAGTTTTATACCACTGTAGGGAACTATTTACTAGTTAAGTTTCTGGCCCCCAGCCAGGGCCAACCTTGCAAGCAGGCCTCTCTGAGGATAGCCATCACAGGCCTTTGATGTTAATTCTTTTCTGCATAGGGAAGTATCTACATATCATTACTTGTACCAACCATTTTTATTTTGAGGAAAAAAAGAATCAGATAAAAAATGTAGCACATAGGTGGGGTATGGTGGCTCACGCCTATAATCCTAGCACTTTAGGAGGCCAAGGCAAGAGGATTACTTGAGGTCAGGAGTTCAAGACCATCCTGAGCAAGAGTTAGACCCGTCTCTACAAAAAAATAGAAAAATTAGCCGGGCGTGGTGGCACATGCCCATAGTCCCAGGAGTTTGAGGTTGCAGTGAGCTATGGTGACACCACTGTACTCTAGCCCAGGTGACATAGTGAGACCCTGTCTCAAAAAGAAAAGTAGCACATAATAATAGAAGCTATATGATAGTAAGAATGTCAAAATGACATTTAAAATCAGATCAAGGGTATCTAATTTCTTTATAATGGAATATGTGGCAATCTAGACCATTTTTCTTGTTCTTTTAGTATTTCTCTTGCCCATTTTAAACATTGCTATAAAAATATTACTCATATTGCAACTTTTGGAGTGTTTCATAATTTTAAAAAATGTCTCCAGGTTGTAAAGCATTTATTGCCAAATAATTAGAAGAAGGCTGTGTAAATTTCTGTAGTAAGTAATAACGTAACAACCAAAACCTAGGTGGAGATCCCAGAAAGTAATTACTAAGATTTAAGATGCAACGTGTATTAGTCATTTACTTTCTTTTAATAGGAAAAACGTGGTCTTCGAGAAATGCGAGTTCTTGAAAATTTGAAGAATATGGTCCATGAAACAAATGAACATACTCTTCCCAAATGTAGAGAAACAATGCAGGACAACTTAAGCCAAGTTCTCCAGAGATGTAAGCCAGTGATCTTTTTATTATTGCTTTTCATGTCAAATGAGTGCTACGTCAAAATGTATTTTCTTGAGTATTACGGTGGGAGGTGGAGAAGAATTCTTAACCTGAATATATGAAAGGGAAGCCCAGTCACAGAGAAAGTGGTTGTCTAGTGATTAATGTGTGTTGCAGTTGATGTTAAGAGCATTAATCTCCAAAGCAAGATATGTGCATCTGCAGTACACAAAACAATCCTTTTAGTATGTGAGAAATTTTTTAAATGTTTTGCCTTTTTTTAGAAAGAATGTATCTGTAAGAAAAAAGTTTGATGGCCAGGAATTTGGAGGATGTGAAATGAAGCTTCTTTGTTAAATAGCATCCTAGAAGTTTTAGCTTTTTTAAAGCAATAACCTTTTCACAAATGTTTGTATTTTATCATTTTTCATTAAGAAAAACATTTTAATGGGGAG